GACTTTTATCTGGCCTATCTTTTTTTTTGAGACAGGGTTTCCCTCTGTGGCCCAGGCTGGAATGCAGCAACCTGGTGCATCTCAGCTCACTGCAACCTCTGCATCCCGGGCTTGGGTGATTCTCTCAAGTAGCTGGGACTATAGGCGTGCACCACCACGCCCGGTTAATTTTTCTATTTTTAGTAGAGACAGGGTTTCTCTTTGCTGCCCAGGCTGGTCCCAAACCCCTGGGCTCAAGTGATCCACCAGCCTCGGCCTCCCAAAGGTCTGGGATTAGAGACATGCACCACCACACCCGGCCTGATTGTGCTTCTGGTTATGGGATGTTGGAAACTGCCAGCTCAGCTTCCACCACCTCCCCTCCCCCATCCACAGACTATAGTCAATATCTCCCTTAATTTGATTTCCACTTATCTATGAATAGCTAAATTGAAAAATGTATGATGTATATAGAAAAATATACAACCAGGGTGGGGAAGGGGCATTAAATAAAAGAAAAAGAAATCTAACGCCAGGCCATGAGCTTATTTCTTTAAAAAAGTATTTACACTTATCAAAAACAATTTTTTTTTAAGGGATGGGGTAGGTTTCCTGCTTCTTACAAGTGTGTTTCTAGAACTACTAAAAACTTGCATTTACAAAATAGTTGATAAAATGGCTCTTCTGGCTTCTGCAAGAAGGCAATGCTGAGATAATCGAGGGTACTCGGTTGAGGATACTCACCAGATTTGGCTGCTTTCTCTCCTGCTTCACCAGAGTCTGGCCTCTTCTGGTTTTAGCATCTTCATTTTCTGCAGGTGAGTCTGATGTCATAGTTTTGCTCCTCCTTTCCCTTTTGTTTACACTTTCTCACTTTTATTATTTGCATATTTTAAAATCAGTTCCAGCATCTGCAGGAGCAGGTTTGGATACCATCCTGCTGATCTCTCCATGACTGTCTCTTGAACTGAACCGCTCCTTTTCCCTGGCTTCCTGGCGGAGGCCGTGTTCCAGGATGGCACTGTGAGGGCCTCTGCAGAGCTGCACTGGCTGCTATTCTTACCACCCCTAAGCTGCTGGGACCCTTAAAACTTCTTAAAAGCATCAAAACTCCTTTTTACTTGTGCAATCTTGCACAGAATCCTGATATTTCATAGGGATAGAGCTGTAACTGTCCCTGTTGAAGTGAGAGTAAGTACATTTCTGTGGAATGCTCATACCCTCGACCTGAAAATTCCACCCGTCATCGTGATGCTGACAGATTTTTTACCTCTGAATATGAAAAATGATTAAGAATACTTTGGGGGATTTTCTTTTCATAAAGATAAATTACCAGTCACTTCTCCCAATTCTTTTTATTTTTATTAATTTTACAGAGATGGAGTCTTACTGCGTTGCCCAGGCTGGCCTCAAACTCCTGAGCTCAAGGAATCCTCCCACCTTGACCACCCAAAGTGCTGGGATTATAGAAATGAGCCACCATGCCTGAGCTCCCGATTCTCATAGTTGGAGAAAACAGGGGAAAAAGGCGACGTTGATGGTGAGGAGCTTGGGAATCAGTAGCCCTCATGTTCCTGTCTGCTCATGTCAATGAGGGAGGGGATCCTTGGTGGAATACCTCACATGAGAGGCAGGAGTCAAAATCTGACGGGGTAAGAATACAGGACCCCGGCGGGCCCACGTTGTATTGGCCTCCTTTATCCATAAAGGGTGAGGTGGAAAGTGAAAGGAATTCTAACACCATATATCTCTCATTTCCTCCTGAGAGAATAGGGTTGTGACACAGCCATATTGGACCTGGTCATCCCTGATGGTCCATCAGGTACTACATAAGACCAACAGAAACTACTCACTGAGCCATCCCTATTAGGTGACCCGTGACTTTGATTAATGACCACTAATCTGTGTTCATTGTTTACTAGCAGGTTAATAAGCCTTTAGTAATACCGGAGAAGAAAACAATTAGGAAAGTACAGGCTAGATGACTGTATGACCTGCAGAGAGCCTAGACTTTTATCTGGCCTATCAGTTTGGGCTCTATAGTAAGTGTAGCCCAATATTTCCTTTAATAATTATGTAGGACTAACGTCTCATCTCCCTTGGTAGCTCCAAACACTTGACTTATGAATAGGCTCTCTTTCTCTTCATTGCTAGAATTCTATCCATCACCACCCTTGTTAAAGAAAATATATATATATATATAAGTTTTGAAATTGCTTATGTTTTTATAGAGATTCAATTGCCAATGAAATAATCTTGAAATTTCTAGATAGCACGGGGCGTGGTGGCTCACGCCTGTAATCCAAGCACTTTGGGAGGCCGAGGTGGGAGGATCACTTGAGTCCAGGAGTTTGAGACCAGCCTGGGCAATATGGCAAAAGCCTATCTCTACAAATAATACAAAAATTAGCCAGATGTGCTGGCAGGTACCTGTAGTCCCAGCTCCTTGGGAGGCTGAGGTAGGAGGGATCACCTGAGCCCAGAGAGGTTGAGGCTTCAGTGAGCTGTGATTGTGCCACTGCACTCCTTTGGGTGACAGAGTGAGACCCTATCTCAAAACAAAACAAAACAAAACAAATGTCTATGTAGGCATTTTGAGTGAACTAAAGTGCTATATTCATATAGAAATATATACAGATCATTAAGTACAGAGTGGGATGAATTTTCTCACTCATCAACATACCATGTCCCTAGGTCAAGAAACAAAACATTACTGTCATCCCAGAAGTCCCCTCTTTGGACCCTTTTGGTCACTCCCCACCCAATGTAACCATTATCCTAATTCTTCTTCTTTTTTTTTTTTTTTTTTTTTTTTTGAGGTAGAGTCTCACTCTGTTACCCGGCTGGGGTGCAGTGGGTCGATCTTGGCTCACTGCAACCTCCGCCTCCCATGTTCAAGTGATTCTTGTGCCTCAGTCTCTTGAGTAGCTGGAATTACAGGTGCATACCACCACACCTGGCTAATTTTTGTATTTTTAGTAGAGACGGGGTTTCACCATGTTGGGCAGGCTGATCTCAAACTCCCGGCCTCAAGTAATCCGCCTGCCTCGGCCTCCCAAAATGCTGGGATTACAGGTGTGAGCCATTGTGCCTGGCCACCACTACCCTAATTCTAACACCACATATTAATATTATCTATTTTTGAATGTTTCCTTTTCAAGTTAACCAGTTTAAGTTTGTTCCTGCGGACAGAAAGCCTTCCTGGTAGTATTTTTATCTCATCAATTATAAGGATAAAGAATGCTATTTTTTTTTTCATCTTTTCCCTTAGTGCCTTAGAGTGGTTGGACCAGCTTGATATAAAGTTGTAGAGCTCAAAGGCTAAAACATCTTTCCCACAGATGCTGTCAGTCTATTTGTTTGATCGTTTGACCGACAGGCGCTGTGAACATCTCTTTGGTAGCTGGTGCATTTTAGTGCTTATTTGTGGATCCGATTCAAGCCATATATATTTGCATATTTTACTTTTATGCACGTGTGAAATGTGCACATACACACAAACAGAGCTCCTGTTTTTCCTGCATTTATTTCTCCTTTCCCATTTCTACCCTCAGTAGACATCCTTCTCTACCCCACGCTATCCTTGCCTTGGGCTCCTCATACAAACCTTCCTCAACAAATCCCGCTCTCCAGAATCAGTCACCCCTGTACACACTGCCTTAAAACGATTGACTACTTATCATTCAAAAGGCGCACACAACCATGGAGAATCCCCTTTCACTTCTACTTTTGATGTAAAGACCATAAGAAATCCAGGTTTGGAAGGGGGAAACCGTGTAGTTAAAGCAACTGGTAGAATGTGTGGCTTTTCATTATCTGCCTGAAGTTCCATTCTGAGTTTTTCCTGAATGAGGATGGAATGTCTGTGTTTATACATTTTTTTCTTTTTAAAATATGTCTCAGGCTGGAGTGCAGTGGCTATTCACAAGTGCAATCATAGTGCACTATAGCCTCAAACTACTGGGTTCAGGCAATCCTCCCACTTCAGCCTCCCGAGTAGCTGGGCCTACAGGCAGACACCACTGCTTGTGGTTCTATGTTGAGACATTTGTTTGTTGAAGTGACAGGCACCCTGTTTATGAGCTCATTCATTCATTCTTTCACTCACTCATTCATTAATTCATTCATTCAACACATCTTTCCTCAGTCCTATAATGTGCCCGACATTGTTTGAGAGGCTGAACTTCTCGAGGGAGAGATCTGTTCTTCAGACCAGAGGGAAATTTGGAAGCCCAAATAGAGAACAGTATTTATAGATCTGACCTTTAGACTACAAGAGGCACCTAATTCCTTAAAATAGAATATTGTTGCTTTTCATTATGCCATGCACATGATAAGAGCTCTGTATATATTTTGGGATGAGGGCAATAGTATTGTACATGTTTCTCTGAAATAAACTGGTAAAACTCTGGATTGTTTAGATTGAAATGAATACAGATCATTATTACTTTTTAAATTAAGTCTAATTTCTTAGTTAAGTCACCACAACATATTTGCAGTTGTTTGTGTATGGGCCTGTTTCTTTCTTGGAATAATACTCACTCCTTTTTAAGCTGCCACCTTTCCTGTTAGTTCTACTATGATGGTGAGCATCATATTCTACCTTTGTATATTGCCTTTCATTTTAAAGGCTTATGGCAGAAAGATCTGAGGCATCCTTAAGGAAGCATTAGGTAGATGTATGAACAAAATACTGCATATCCATTTTGTGTTATGCAATAAATCATATAGTGCTTGCTTCAGATGATTTCTTCCAGGTTCACTCAGCAACATTCTCTACCCAGACTATATAGCCTTGACTTTCAATAAAAAACAAATATGAGGCCAGGTGTGGTGGCTCACGTCTGTAATCCCAGCACTTTGGGAGGCTGAGGTGGGAGAATCACCTGAGGCCAGGAGTTTGAGACCGGCCTGGCCAACACGGTGAAACCCCGTCTCTACTAAAAATACAAAAATTAGCTGGGTGTGGTGGCACATGCCTGTAATCTCAGCCACTTGGGTGGGTGAGGCACAAGAATCACTTGGACCCAGGAAGCAGAGGTTGCAGTGAGCCAAGACCACTCCAGGGTGGTGCATGGGTGACAAAGTGAGACCCTGTTTAAAAAAAAACCAAAGATGAGTTACCACAAAAGTTTTAACAAAGGGCACAGCGAGGAGAAAGTCCTCCTTTTCATGGCCAGCATTCTGTTTCCAGTTGATAGTTCGCCCATAGCCAGGTTTGACTGAACTCATCCCTGTTAGTGCAAATTTCTCTGAGATCTGAACTGGGAAGAGGAAAGAGACATTAAAAATGAGCTCTCTGAGTTGTGTTTAAAGTCGTCACACTGAACCCATGACTGTTAAGCCCATTCACAGCTGTAGTAATTATATTGCATAATCAGTGAGGGGAAACCCTCCCCCTTTTGTATTCTTATTGAATAGAGAAGACAGATAAATGTCAGAGCTCTGCCCTAAACTAAGATTACTTCCTACAAAAGAATTCTGGACTCAGAAGGGAAGCATGATCCTTTACAAGTGAGCTCACCTTGTCCACTCTCAGCTCAGGGATCGCAAACTCATAGATCAGTGATTCCTAGTCTGTAGGGCATGGATGCCTGATGAGGCATTTAAAATCGTGGGATTGCAAGCAAGCATTATCTATAGACTGCATACACAATATTTTACACCTACACGTACTATTCAAAAACATGGGGATGTGTAATTCCAATTAATAAAATACAAATTTGCTCAAAGGCATCGCTAAATTCATGACAGTTTTAAAAATAATACTAATACATAGTGTTTCCTTCATTGGTTATTGTCAGAAGATTTTCTTTACTTAGAAGAAAATTAGCAGTTTTGGGTAACAAGATGGTCCTCGTAATTTAGAAGTTTGGGGGTCACTGAGAGTGCTGGTGATTTATGTTTAACTCATGGATGACTTCCTCCTAGCTCTATAAAATATTGAGGTGTTGACATCCCAAACTTGTTATAACTGGAACATACATATGAATCCTACTCTGCACAAGGCACAATATTCTTGATTTCATATTTTCCTAACTCCCTTTGTCTCATGGCATTTACAAATCTTTTTTCTTTTTCTTGTTTGAGATGGAGTCTTACTCTTATCACCAGGCTGGAGTGCAGTGGTGTGATCTCGGCTCACTGCAACCTCTGCTTCCTGAGTTCCAACGATTCTCCTCCCTCAGCCTCCCAAGTAGCTGGGACTACAGGTGCACACCACCATGCCCAGCTCATTTTTTTGTATTTTTAGTAGAGATGGGGTTTCACCATGTTGGCCAGGATGGTCTTGATCTCTTGACCTTGTGATCCGCCCGCCTTGGCCTCCCAAAGTGCTGGGATTATAGGTGTGAGCCACCACGCCCGGCCCAGCATTTACAGATCTAACTGAAGAAATATGAAATAAGTGCACACAAAAGTTACATAACAAGTTAAGAAATGCAAGGAGAAAACATATAGTACACAAACAATTGCCGAATGCTGTGAACTCAGAGACAGCAGAGAGGGAAAGGTAGAGAGAGAGAGGGAGAGGAAGGTGAGTGGTATGGTGAGAGGAAGTGTGTTCCCAGGGCGCACATCAGAGCAGGTTTTTATAGACTCATTCCTGACTCTGCTGATTGCCACCCAAGTAACCATGGATAGACAACCTGACCCCACTAAGCCTCTGTTTTATCATCAATAAAATCAAGATTATAGTAATAATACCTCTCATATTGTGTTATTGTGAAGATAATTTATGACAAAATATATTAAATGCTTCGTACTATAGCTAGTGTATAATATGTGCAAACTAAATGGCAGCTGGTATTTATTCTATTAGACTGTAAATCCCTCCAGGATGGGAAGTATGACTAACTTATTTTTGCTTCCATAGAATCTAGCACAATGCTTGACTCATAGGTACTCAATAAAAGGAAAACATTTGCTGAATGTTTTGAATGTAATGAAGGGAAGGATAAATGGATAGATGGTGGGTTGAATTTTTTTTAAATGAACTATGGGCTTTGGTGACATGAAAGGGTGTCATGGAGAGCAAAAGGTGAATCTAACCATGCATGGAGAAGAGAGGAGGGCACTGCAGTGGGAGAGGGCAGGAACCAAAGCACAGAGGCAGGAAGGCACCTGGGATTGGGTACTGGGATTCGGCTGTGGAGGGAGTGGCCTGCCAGGCTGGGGAGTATGTATCTTACCTGTGAGCAGTGGGAGCCCATGAAGATTTGTGAGGGGGAGAATGGCATGAGGAGGGAAGTTTCCAGAGGGTTAGCCTGGTGCTGGTGTGGAAAGGAAAGGGGCAATCCATGCTAAGCAAGAAGTGGTTAAGTCCCTAACCAGAGTGACAACTATGGAAATAGAGACAAAGGACTGATTGAGGAGAGGACAGAGGTCCCACATCTCAATTCTTTCGGAATTGGTAAGGTGGTCACTTAAGCCATATACCAACACACATGCTGACCCTTGAAAGGGCACATTTTTCGCTGGGCGTGGTGGCTTAGGCCTGTAATCCCAGCACTTTGGGAGGCCACGGCGGGCAGATCACCTGAGCTCAGGAGTTTGAGACCAGCCCGGCCAACATGGTGAAAACTTGTCTCTACTAAAAATACAAAAATTAGCTGGGCATGGTGGCACATGCCTGTAATCCCAGGAGGATGTAGTTGGGAGGCTGAGTCAGGAGTATTGCTTGAACCTGGGAATTGGAGTTGCCGTGAGCCAAGATCATGTCATTGCACTCCAGCCTGGGCAACAAGAGCAAAACTCTGTTTCAGAAAGAAAGAAAGAAAGAACGAAAGCAAGAAAGAAAGCAAGCAAGAAAAGAAAGAAAGAAAGAAAGAAAGAAAGAAAGAAAGAAAGCAAGAAAAGAAAGAAAGAAAGAAAGAAAGAAAAAGAAAGAAAGGAGGGAGAGGAAGGAAGGAGAAAGAAAGAGAGAAGGAAGGAACGAAGGAAGGACCACATTTTTGAAAATCACTGTGGGTGAGTACTGAGTTAGAGAAGAGACAATGGAGGGATGGATTGACAAGGAGTGCAGAGCCTGCCGCATGAACTGAGTCAAGGAAAGGTGATTTGAGTGGTAGGGTTTTTTTTTGTTTTTGTTTTTTTTTAGAGAGATGGGAAGATCAACAGTGGTGAGTATTAGAATGGGCAATGGAGAGGGAATAATCTATAAACGTGGAATTGAACTCGGGGCTAAACTGCCAATGACAGAGACTCACTTGCCTGAACAAAAGTGAACTGGAAGTCTAGCAACACGGGCAGAGCCCGACGGCTCTGCCTGTGGTGGGGCCGAGGGCACAGGTGAAGCCTGCTGGATGGAGCCAGACTGGGCCACTCCCCCTCCCTGTGGAGGAAACAGAGCTATGGTCACCTCCCTTCCCCCTCCACACTCCATGGAGATCTCCCCTCTCTCCTCTACGTCCCATGGATACTTCCCTTCCCCTCCACATCCCACGGAGACCTCCCCTGCCGCCTTCAATTTCACTTGGCTAGGAAGACAAGTGGAGCTAGCGCAGGTGGCCTGCTTCTTTTATGTTTTTGGGAAAGCAGTCTGTCTCTCTGGAAGAAGTTATTTTTTCTTAGATAAAGGGACTATCTCTGGGGGAAAGAGTGATTCCAAAAAAAGAAATAAAGAATGAAGAAAAATAAGGACCTCCTTTCTCCTACCCTTGGGGGGAATTCACTCATTCATTACCACATTTAATTGAATTGAAAAATAGCCACTTTCTTCTTCCAATAACTACTATTGCCGGTGACTACTTGATGTTGTCTTTTGTTAACCACATGACATCCTCTGTCTGTGAGTTTGTGGAGCACCAGGGAAGAGGTAAGAACACCCAACTCTACTGCTTTTCCGTGACACAGGAAGATGCTGTCAGGGCTAGGTATTCTCTGGGGTTCTTAAAAACTCTTTGGAGAATTAGATCAATCCAAGAAGACTGAGAAAAATCACATGTAGTGTTTCCCCAAAGAACTTTACAAAGGGTAAGATGCTCTAGCCCAGAACTAGAACTTTAGCATAAATCTGGTCTGAAACCTTGGTTAAGGATGTAACAGTTTATATTGGGGAATCTGTATGTGGATCTGAAAAGCAGGCAACTTTCTAGATTTCTTATACACATCTGTTGCAGACATAAAGTGGTGCCACCATCTCAGATGACACTTTGGCCTTTTTGTGTATGAAAATTGACATACTGTATGTGAAAATTCATATATTCTATGGTCTAACCTTCCATCCTTGGGTATACCAACAAGAAAAACCAGGAGACATATATAAAGATGTTCAGAGCAGACCTTTTTGTAATAGCAAAAATGTATAAATCAACCAACTATCCATCAACAGCAGAAAAGATAAATCCAATGTAATACATTCATACAATGGAAAGTTATTAAACCATTAAACAGCAGATGGTCTTATAGCAACATGCAACAAAGTGGATGAATCTGAAAAATATAATAGTGAGAAAGTTAAAGCTGGGCACAGTGGCTCATGCCTGTAATCCACTTTGGGAGGCCGAGGCAGGCAGATCACTCGAGGTCAGGAGTTTGAGACCAGCCTGGCCAACATAATTAAACCTGACTCTACTAAAAATACAGAAATTAGCTGAATGTGGTGGCGGACGTCTGTAATCCCAGCTACTCAGGAGGTTGAGGCATGAGAATCACTTGAACTCAGGAGGTAGAGGTTGCAGTGAGCTGAGATCGCACCACTGCACTACAGCCTGAGTGACAGAGCAAGACCCTATTTCAAAAACAACAAACAAACAAAAAAAGCAAGTTAAGTCCAAGAATTACACACATTAAGCTCTGTTGACAATGTTTAAAACAACTAAAACAAAACAATAAAGTTTTCCAGAATAGGTATATTTATGATAAAACTAGAAAACACACATATACTTAACAGGAATTGAATAGTAAGCCGAAAACTCAATATCCCAGAGAGTTCGCTCAGCTGAGCAGATGGATGTAAATTACACTCATTTCTGGGTGGTGAGCTGGTGGATGTTCTTTATCTTGTTTTACAAATAGGGTGATGGGGAATGCAGGGACGATGAGGAGTGTGTCATGAGCCATGACGTATGATTAATCCAGTTCTGCACATCTGAGTGGAGGAGGGGTTGTGGGAAACCATCGCAGGTCTTGTGGGACACAGACAGATCTGATGACTTTTCAGATAGAATTGCAGGCTGAGTAGGCAGAGGAATGGAGTAGATATATTATTAGAGTTTGTCATCCAGGGCCTGGCAGGATAATCAGTGTCATGAAGGACAGCACTCCTGCCTGGAGGAATTTTCAGCTTATTCCAGACAAAACAACAATGGAGACATTGAGTCTGAGTTAAACATTACAGCCATGGAGTCTATTGTTTTTATTTTTCTAATGATAAAGTTATTGTAACTCAAATGTCTTTATTTTATTTTTTCTATCAAGAAAGTTATGGCAGAGATGAAAACTTGGAAAATAAAGAAAAGGATAAAAAAGAAAATATTATTCCAATACCCAGAGATCATAACTGTCAATCTTTTGGTGCGTTTGCCTCCTGTGGACTGGTATTAGATAAGAACCACTAACTACCCACCCATTGTATATTTTCTGACCAACGCAACCTAGCAAAACTGTTCAGAGCTTGGTTCTTTGGAGTGAGGAGAACTGAATTTGAATCCCAGCTTTGCACTAACCAGCTCATGGCAAGTCAATAGCCTTCCCTGAAACCCAGCTGGGTCATGGCACTAGTGGGGTTTGAGGATTAACCAAGATGAAACGTGGTGCAATTAGCATTTACAGTGTCTGGCACACAGTCAACCTTCAGTGAGAGTTGTGATTTATTATTAAGATGATGTGCCTGGCTTGGGGCAGTGAGGTTCATTTAGTTAAAAGATGGGGAACTCCAAAAAACACCCAAACAGCGGAAGGGATTCTAGGGTTGTGAAGGTGGAAAGGGCTATGTTATGTTTGATTTGAAGACAACCTGATGGGTGACTTCCAATATGTGAAGAATGAAGGCTGTCTCAGAGGATTTGAGAGCTCAGAAGATAAGCTTAATCCTGCTCTTTCAGCATAATAGAAAGTTTATTTATCCTCCTCCAGTGAGAAAAAAAATACCTTCAACATGAGAAGAGGAAGGGGCAGTGGAGAAAATGACAGGGACAAGCAGTATCATCTTTTGAGCCTTTGTCTTGGCCACAGCAACTCTCTGAGAATAATAATATACTCTATTTCTCCCGCATTCGGCACTGAACAAGATGAGTATCTAGGTTGAACGCCTCCAAATTTACGTTCTAAAAGTGATGGATCATCCTCACGACTGAAGGTTTTATAAAAGGTACAAAGGACCAGAGCGGCTTTGGGCTTCTCAACAGCACCTCTGCAAACAGCAGATAATGGAGCAATGCTTCCAATAGTCTAAGGGGCCATTCTTTCCAAACTTAAATTTGACATCTGGCCAGATGATCAGTGAAGTTCGTAGTGGAATAAGGACACTTTCAAACACACAGGTTCTCAAAAACTTTACCTCCCATGTCAGTGGAAGTTGCGTGCCACCCCAGTGAAGGAGTAAACCAAGAAAGCAAGAGACACTGGACCCAGAAAAGAGAGGATCCAACCAACACGCAGCAGGCAGAGGGGATGATGGTGAAGGAGACCCCACCTCAGCAGCTGAGAAGCAGGTCAGGTCTGGAGAGCAACTGGTTCAGATTGGAGCCAGCCAGAAGGTGCCAGGAAAGATTGCTTCAAGCAATGAAATTAATAGAATAACTGATATGAATATATTGAGAAAATCTTTACTCAGCTAGGGGAGAGTGTAGGGATAAATTAATAATGATAACAGACTACTAAGCAAAAGGGGGAAAAAGACAGTTCTTAACACTGGGTAATAGGGAAATTGTAATGAAAGGGAACATTAAGGCCGGGCACAGTTGTTCACGGCTGTAATCCCAGCACTTTGGGAGGCCAAGGTGGGTGGATCACCTGAGGTTAGGAGTTCAAGACCAGCCTGGCCCACACAGTAAAACCCCGTCTCTACTAAAAATACAAAAAAAAAAAAAATTAGCCTGGCATGTTGGCATGTTCCTGTAATCCCAGATACTTGGGAGGCTGAGGCAGGAGAGTCGCTTGAACCTGGAAGGTGGAGGTTGCAGTGAGCTGAGGTTGTGCCATTGCACTCCAGCCTGGGCAACAAGAGCGAGATTCTGTCTCAAAAAAAAGAAAAAAAAAAAAAGGAAAATTTATAGTAATTTTACTACTTAAAAACAACATAGCAGTGTTATTTATAAAAGCTAAAAAGTGGAAGCAATCCAAATGTCCATCAACTGATGACTGGTAAACAAAATGTGGTGTATTCATACAGTGAAATGTTAGCCTTAAAAAGGAGAAAAATTCTGACGTGTGATATAACAAGGATCAACCTTGAGGACGTTATGCTAAGTGAAACAAGCCAGACACAAAAGCACAAATACTATGTGATTCCACATTCATATGAGGTCCCTGGAGTAGTCAAATGTATTATAGAAACAGAAAGTAGAATGGCGGTTACCAGGGGCAGTTGGAGAATGGGGAGTTCGTGATTTTTGTTTCTGTTTTTTTGTTTTTGAGACAGGGTCTCACTCTGTTACCCAGGCTGGAGTGTAGTCATGGCTCACTGCAACCGCCGCCTCCGGGGCTCAAGTGGTCCTCCCACCTCAGCCTCTCAAGTAGCTGGGACTACAGGTGCACACCTGTATTTCTGTAGAGACAGGGTTTTGCTGTGTCATCCAGGCTGGTCTCGAACTCCTGAGCTCAAGTGATCCACCCGCCTCAGCCTCCCAAAGTGCTGAGATTACAGGTGTGTGCCATCGCGTCTAGCTGGGAGTTAGTGTTTAATGGGGACAGCTTCTATTCGAGATGAAAAAAAGTTCTAGAAGTGGATCGTGGTGATGATTGCACAACAATGTGAATGTCCTTAAGATCACTGAACTGTACACTTACAAATGATTAAAAAGATAAATTGTGTGTTATTTATATTTTACTACAATAAAATATCTGTGAAGAAAAGCCCAAAACACCCTGTAAAGTGCTGTTCAAATGAATTGAATTACTATTATTTTTCTCATAGTGATATCAGATTTTAAAGACCGAGATATTAGTGAGATCCCAATACCTCAATTTGGTAAGGAAAAATAAATTACCTTTTCCCAACAAAATCACATGTCTTTATTTTTAAAATCTGTGATTAGAAAGGTATATCCTAACAAATAATCCTGTATATCCATCTTCCAGTGATAACCCCTATCCCTCAATATCACTTTATCTGTCTCTTCTAACATATAATTTTCAGTGTAAAAAACGTCTGACCATACTACATATATGGTTTAAAAATTGCTTTTTAAATAACTTTACAATATATTTCGCCTTCTTTCCACATCTATGTTTATATAAACACATTCATTTTTGTAACATTTTTAATAATTCTGGGATCAAGATATATTTTATATTAATGTAAGTTCCTCTTCTA